CCCCTTTTCTTCCTTCTTTCTTTCTTTCTTTCTTTCTTTCTTTCTTTCTTTCTTTCTTTCTTTCTTTCTCTCTCTCTCTTTCCTTCCTTTCTTTCTTTTTGGTCCTTTTGAGACAGGGTCTCCCTGTAGGCCCAGCTGGCCTGGAACTCACTATGTACACCAGGCTGGCCTTGAACTCACAGAGATCCACCTGTGTCTGCCACTCGAGTGCTGGGATTAAAGGCGTCCTTTTCAATGGATCATAACCATTGAGTCAACCCTCCAGCCTTGTCTTCTAGGGCTTTTAATCAACACAGGTGGAAAGGCAGGAAAACACTTCCTAGTCTTCTGTGGTCTTCCTCATCACCTCCAAATCTGACTTGTCCTGGTAAATTCTTACTCCTGATGTGTTGTCTTCAAGTTCTAGGAGTCAGTGGTCTATGAAAACTGGCCTGTGACCCAGTGTAGACGTAGATGACAATAATGTCATGTTTGGGGAAATGTTTCATTGGTCTGTGTAATCCTAGAGCTCCTTTGCTCCCTCCTTTGTTCTGAGATGATCCGAGATGTCTCACCCCCTCCCCACTTTATGGGAGCTCACAGCCTCCCCCGCCAGCCAGGACCAGAACAGGTGACCAGGTGTGTGCTAAATGAATGCTCTGTGGTTTGTACCTCACCTCAGATGAACCTTGAGGCAATGAAAGGGAGCAAGCCAATTAAGGGAAAGGGTTGTACGAAGGAAAAGATCCGGGATGCCAGGACTAGGGCTCAAATCCTGAACCCCCTGGAGGCCCCAGCCACCCACTGGCAGCTCGGGTGTATGGGTGTGTGTAGGGGGAGTCGTGGGGGTGGATACTGGTGTCTTTTCTGAGCCTCAGCTTCTTGCCAGTGTGATGAGCTGGTAAGGCTTCACTCTGGGAAGGGCAAGAGGGTGTTTGCGGAACAGTGTGGATCAAGAAAAACTCTTAGCCCAGCCTACCACAAGCAAGCAGTACTTCCAATTTCCCCCCTCTGTTCCTCCCACAAGCCCACGACCCGGTGCAGGAACTTTGGACAGGTGCAGGTTCTGAACCCGGATTCAGGATGCCTGGCGCCTGGGAGGTGCTCAGACTAACAAATGACCCCGCTCCAGTCACTCCCCTTCTGGACCTGCTTTTGCTTTTGTTTAGTAGGAACTGGTCCCGGGTTTCCCTCCTGGTATCTCCGACACATCTGCTTTTACAGAACAAGCCTACGGAGTCACATTTAGGGAAGGCGAGTGGGTGGTGAAGAGACTTCGACTAAAAGGTTAGCGCACATTTTTGGCTCCCACTTCCGAATCTTCCAGAAGGTCTTTTCTTTTTTCTTTTTTTGCCTACTTAATAATTACATTAAAGAAAAAAAAAGCCATGTCACTTTTCTTTGCTATTGAAGTCTTAACGCTAAACCGCCCACTCCAGCCATCCCGGGACAAGGCGAGGACAGGTGGAGCGCGCGCGCGGGAGGCGGGGCCGCGCAGCGGAGTGCGCGCACAGCCGGGGGTCTGCAGAGCGCGCGCGGGCCCCGGGGACAGGGGTACGCACCCCGACACCAGCCCTTCCGGCTGGCTCGGACCCCCCGGCCCGCCCCGTGCCAGCCCCTTGCCC